TGATTTTCAATAAGGTTCATCCTTTGGGTGATTGCGAACACTCATACCAAGTTTTTTCAAAATCCGTCAAGAATTGTGTCTTGTTGAGTGTTTACGAGTAATTGTGGACGGACCTACCGACGAACGGACGGACATGGGTGACGGCAATATACGCCCCCATTTCACGTGGGTGTATAAAAATGAAATAACAGTTTTACGTCCTGCTCTTTTGCACCTTATTTAGGCCCATGAAGACGAACAACGCCATGCAGCGTGCTTTGATGGACATTTTGCAAGGACAGCGGCATTAGCCTACTCTTTTTCTTTTGCCAACTGTCCAGGGATGCGGTTTATTGTCCCATCCGAACGACTGGACGATTTTCCATGGCATCCCCTCCGATCTGCATCACTGACAGAGGGAAACGAGTTGAAAAATCCAAAGGTATCATCTCGACCCATACCGGAATTGAAACAAGCCTCTAACTCACTGAGGCTGGAATAGAGACAGATGTTTCAGTCTATAAACATTACTGTCATGACAACTTCATAAAAGCCAATAAGATTATTTTCATATTATTTTAACCTTTCCCACATTTGTATCGTGGTATAAGTGTAGTTTCTTATTACAACGATATGATATGTAACTTTTACTGTCTTGTTCCTGTACAGTTGGTCTGTGAAAGGAACAATTAAAGATGGGTTTCCTTCTTTATTCAGTGTCAAATTAGGCAAACTATTTGATTGATTTGTGTTTCTAATGAATTATCATGTATTCTTAATCATAATATTATGTTCTTATTGCATAGAATTAAGAGTTTTAGCCTATCATATCATGTCCATGTATGTACGTCTGGATAAACCAAAAAAAGACTTTTTGACCGTTCTTGATGGGTCAGTCATTGGAATTATGCGACAAACTGGTATTTTTCCAAGTCATTAGAACACCTCTACTTTCTATTCATAGAAGTGTTAGCATTTTCATTTCCATAAATGAAAATAAGGGAACCCATCTTTAATTAAAAAAAAATATGCCTTTATCACACCTAAACGGGACAAAAATTAATGATTTATTGTCTACTCAAAAAAATTGATTTGTAATACGGGGAATATGTGTTATTGCATTTTTACGGTTTATCTTAAAATCCCAATTAAGTAGACGAAATTACTTTTTTTATCAACATATAATGCATCGGAATAATGTTTAAATAGAAAATGTTTATTTAAGGTGAAGAAAATGTTGCATTGGGAAGAAACACCGCCCAGAGTTCTAATTATTCTACTAGTTACTCATCGTTAGCTGTAGATGGTAATACTAACAGTGATTATGGTCAGAGATCTTGTACTCATACCTTCAATCCTGGTATCAATTGGTGGTGTGTTGATTTACAGAGAGATGTTAATTTTCAAAACATGAAAATATACAACAGAAATTCAAGTGAGTTCTTTTATGTTCTAAACTGTTGAAAAGTTAACAAAATACATGATACATGGTGAATACTGAATTCCTCATGCATTCCGTGTGATCTCAGAAGAGGGACCAAGAACGTGTCATCTTGTAGTATTTTCTTCCAAAATAGAACTTTGTTTACCTGGCTTATTCCAGCTAATTTCATTTTGAGCTATACTTTTTATAACTTTCATGGGATCCCAGAACACTTAATGATAGTGTAGTATTTTTACTGTAACAATGATTAGTCTAGTAAATAGTTAGATCCCAAGAATTTCTGTCATCTCGTTGATAATTTTGAACGACTTACTCGTCGAAACACCTCTGATTCTTATATTTGCAGACAGACATTGAAATTTATGTGAAAATAGAAATCAAGCAACAAAAAACATTAAAATGTAGAACGAAAATATTTTTCACCTGGGTCCGATTCAAAGCATTGATAAACATCATGGCGCGAGAGTACATCAAATTTACATGAGAATAAAATGTACAAAGATAAAACGTAAACATATATTATTAAAATAAATAGATTGGAGAGATATTTATTAAGGTATATCTTCAAAGTTTTTTGGACACAGAGAAAATATAATGTTTAATATTTATATCTCAGTAGTTTAATATGGAGGTCAGTCGTATTCAGAATTATTATGTCTAATACTGCTTTTGCTTCAAACAACATTGAACATTGAACAATCATAATTGTCTTTGCATCTTCTACATTTCACTATCTACATTACATCTTCGTTATTGTGCATGATTTCATACCTTTTAGTCCCCGCCCACACGTCATGAAAATATAATGTAGTTGAGATAAAACAATTTCGCTAATCAACTGCAGTGTAGCAGTTACGAAGATGTGATAAAGCATATTTTTCAATTATTGAAAAGAAAACCTCTTTACAATCTCTTTAATGCCATCATCCAATGATAGAACAGTTACCTGACAAAAATATCTTACAAGGAAATTACATTCCTTTCTCTCAGATAGAAATGTGTCAGAGGAAAAGTAGTCCAAATTGGAATAAGCTCTATGGGAATTAGTTGAACTCAGGATGTCGGTCCATGGAATAATTGCTTTAGTTCATTATGATTAATAGTTTTATTATTCGTGCACGCATGTAGCAAATACTGGAACTGGTTTAGCATTTCTGGTTTGATCGTATATCTAAACTTCGGACATATTGCACAATGTGCAGATTGGTTTGGAGGCTGTAGAGCTTATTTGGGGATCGATTTACGCCGAATATTCATTCTTTATGTTCTCTTTAACAAAAAGTATCGGATGCATTGGAAAAATTCAATTCTTTTTTAAGAAATAAAAAATGTCCATGAAAATATTTGAATTTTTTGTCTCAGGCGCTACTTATAGGATCGATCTGAAATTTACTGGATATAGACAGATAAAATTGCGACATACGATTTTTTTGAATCACTTTCCGTTTTTGGTTTTAGATCTTCCTGCTTCTCAGAATCACTCCGTGCGACCCCGCCTCTGTTGTAAATCAGAGATTTCGGCAAAAAAAAAACATATCATCGATATAACTAATTTGTATAAACCATGTAGAACAAATAAAAACCACAGATTGACGCCTTTTGGAAAAATTTTGCCATTTTGTATTCGATTTGTATGATTTTGGTTTCAATCAAAACATTGTTACATCTTAAATATGTTATGTTTAATGTGAAGGTCTTTATCTCGTGACCTTGACCTTCAATGACCTTAAAAAATTAGTTTTAGAATGCCCCTGACCTTAGCTATTTATCTATATGTTGATACAGTTTTAAATTCATTAACATCCGAAAATTGACTTTTTTGCAACTTTGAACGGCTGAAGGCCTACCACCTTCTCTCATAAATAAAATGGTTTTTTTCAGGTTGCTTGTGTACGATTTGTTCACTTTCCAACAAATCCCTTTAATTTTGGCCTTCATAGTCAGATTGTACTCTTTATTCTAAACAATATTTCAAATAATTAGAATCTATTATTTTGTCAATTTATACTGAAGGTTTAAAGGTATCACGACCTGTTCCATGCGTGAACTGGACTGGAGTCTTTTGATAGTAGACAATTTCATTTAAAAACAAAACTTTCACCCGACTTCTTCATACCCATGCGAACTTTTCAAATTATACTCAATGTCATAGAAATGAATCTAACAAAATTTTATAGCATACCAAAACTATTGATTGATTCAAAAATGACATTAAAAGATAAAAGAGGGGACTGCAGTGGAAAAATATTGAATAAAGTTTAGGCCGATGTATGGAAGCCGGCTGTGGCCATATTACCCCCTGAGAGACGACAAAGCGAGGAAAAGGCGAGAAAGCGAGAGTAAAAAAAGCGAGGAAAAAGGCGAGGAAAAGTGAAAGAAAGCGAGGACATTTTCTAGTGTTGACACAGAATTTAAGGGGAATGCTGTTTTAGACTAAGGCTATAGAGACTACTCCATACTGATGAATTATGATGGAGAGTATTAAAAACATTTTTAAATATAAAAGGAATATTTACACCATTAAGATGAAAAATTATGAAAATCCAATATCAATTGAGAGTAATAAACTTTTCAATGTCTAAGATAAAATTGTATTAAATAAATAAATGCGGTAGCTAAGATACTTGTATTGAAAATGACTAGATCTATTCTGTTCACAGTTCTAGTATGATATTGAAGTCGTATTTTCTGATGGGGATAATAGATAACGACTACTTACTGGCACATGTGTTTGTCCAATCATATTGCAAATTTGATTTGCTATTTGGGTTTGTTGGTTTTTTGAGGTAAAAATCTAAAACTATTATTAATGGTACTGGTGCAAAAGTGAAGATTTGAATACCATATGGAATGTTTTCACTTCGATCTTCGATTGATAATAGTTTTAGATTTTTACCGGTAGCTAAAATACTTGTATTGAAAATGACTAGATCTATTCTGTTCACAGTTCTAGTAATTCCCTCTTATTTTATAGAAATAATCTTATGTTATCTTTACAGGTCAAGAAAGATTACAAGGTTTTGAGCTAAGATTAAGTTCTAATGGTAGATGTAATTATAATGAATATCAACAATCTACAGTTTGTTATAAAGATACTAGTACAACAAAACGAGATATCTACAATATAAACAGTTGTAATCAACAACAAAATATACAGTTTAATGGTAGATATGTATATATCAGTGTAGAAAATCCCGACCTAGGAAACACATATCTCTCACCCTGTGAAGTAGAAATATTTGAAAGTGAGTGTTTTTGTTATACGTATTTAATCTGCATGGATATGTGCATATGTTCCACAGTAAATACAGTAAACATTAGTCTTTGCCATAATTTAACTGTTTATACTTATATACCTCTAAGGCATCAGAAAAAAGAGACAAACAAGAAAGGCAAAACTATCAAAATTTAAAAGCCTCTTAAACGAAACGGAGAGGATTCTTAACTCCTCAATATGTGATTCAATTATGTATATTATTACTCTCTAGAATGTGGGAGTAATTGTAAAGATGGCTGTGATTCTAGTGGTAATTGTAACAATTGTAAGTCTGGTTATAATGGTAATAAATGTGATACACCATGTAATACTAATTGTAATGGTGGTTGTATCCAGAATAATGGTAATTGTGAAGCTTGTAATGATGGTTATTGGGGTATAAAATGTCAGTCACAATGTCCTACAAACTGTAGACTGTCTAAATGTGATAAGAACAATGGTTATTGTAGTGAATGTAAGAATTATAACTGGGGAGATAAATGTGAAGAGCTATGTTCAGTTAACTGTAAATATCATTCCTCTATTACTTGTTATAAAACTAGTGGTAAATGTAACTCTGGTTGTAAAGATACATGGTATGGTGATACATGTAATAATAAATGTAGTTCTAAGTGTAAACAGAGTAAATGTTATCAAGATACAGGAAGATGTACAAGTTGTAAAGCGGGATATTATGGAAACCAATGTACCGAACACAAAACAATAATCCAGTATGTAATATAACTAATGGTTATTGTACTATTGGATGTATTAAGGGATATTATGGTGATGTTTGTAACAAGGAGTGTAGTACTAACTGTTTTGAGAAGACATGTCACCAGACTAATGGATTATGTACAACTGGTTGTATAGATGGTTATAAAGGTAATTACTGTCAGGATACCTGTCTAGATAACTGTATTAGTTGTAATAATAATCAATGTACAAGTTGTAATACAGGATGGTATGGTAATCAATGTCAGACTAAGTGTAATAGTAATTGTATCAATGGATGTGATCAAACTACAGGAAGATGTACAAGTTGTAATACAGGATGGTATGGTAATCAATGTCAAACTAAGTGTAATAGTAATTGTATCAATGGATGTGATCAAGCTACAGGAAGATGTACAAGTTGTAATACAGGATGGTATGGTAATCAATGTCAAACTAAGTGTAATAGTAATTGTATCAATAGATGTGATCAAGATACAGGAGATTGTTTAGATGGTTGTATTGATGGTAAAAGTGGCAGACAGTGTACTGAGGCTACAGGTAATAGTTATAATTTTATTTACTTTTGGGTGAAATCCACTATATTTTATTGACCAGTACGAAGTACATTAATATAGGTTTCCGGGCAAGCAGTCCGGGCAAAGACAATACAGTCTTTAATGACCAAATACATTTTTTTAATTATTCATAATGCATTTATTCATATTTAGACCATAACTTCTTTGATCTTGGCGTGGTATAACCAACTGAAATGTTAGTTTTACCACGACTGGGACTTCTTTCTTCAATAGTTGATGATTCAGAACATATTGTGCGATTCAAATATCGAAGGCTATTAATATGGTTACTATAGCCGAACAAAAATTCCTACTCTCTGACTACAATGATTTCTGAATCGAATTATGGCACGAACAAATTGAAAGATTAATTACAAAAAACTACTTAGGGTCTAAGATTGTCTTTAGGTTGATCAAAATGTTAACCACTGGAAAAGTTATTTTTTGTAAACATGATTTTACAGAGGGGAATTTTCAGTCAGAAAAGTAATCGTATTCACGTGAATTTTCTGGGAGGGAAGTGTGTCAAGCTCAAATGTAAAATCACTCAACCTTATATTTCTATGGACCCGAAGACAATCTAAGACCAATGCATTGATCAATTACAAACAGTTGTACCTAACGGTCTAAATGTACAGCATGACAATCAAATCATACCTTTCGTTGCCACCTACAATTCTACAGCTGTGATTGCCAAAAGCTTTTATAAAGAACTTCGGGACGAATTCCTTAACATCTTTACTAACTTAACGTGTGGTGACTGCTTACAAAAGGAATAAAAATCTGAGTAATGTTCTTGTCCATGGTAGATTAGACCCTCTTTCATTAACTCCCTGAATCAATCGCTTTGTATTTCTGCATTATTTGTTTATCTTGTAAATCTCTCCAGAAGTGGGTAATTTTCTATCAAATTGATGTATTCCAATGCTAAAATCCACAGTCCCTACTTGTGACCTAGGCCAGTGCTTTTATAAGAGAGTTTCCCTTATAAAACTTTATACCAATGGCATAAAGTTTTATTCTGAATATTTATGAAATGAGAGAAAAAGTCAATTCAAAGCTAATTAGAGAGTATTCCTGACCTCATTAGAAATCAGATTTGGTAACAGATTAACTGGGCGACCAGTGGATTTAAACTTTTCATCGTCGAAATACATAATAAAATTATCCTCTTGTGTTAATAAATACTCCTGACACCTGAAAATCGACGTCAGTATCCATTATATAAATCACAGAACTGAAGCAAGAAGAAATCAACCTATTCTCAAATTGATTCACACGACATAGAAATTCAATTTTACATGCGTACCAAATATTCATCAATGTAAATCACGTGCACTTTAAGTTATGCTCACAATGAAAAATCAACGAAACGTGAGCTTTTCGTAATAGGAAAACATGATGAAAAAACACCATTCAGGTGTGAAACAAATTTGGCCATACATAGCGAATGATCACGTGACATGATAACAACTTGCACGTGCTGAAATGTCTAGAAATAGTTCATGTACAAATCTGAATTAATAAGTTTTAAAGAATAATTTTGAAACATACGCCTTATATCATAATCATTATTATGGTCTAATCAGGTTAGATAACACGGTTTCCGTGGTTTAATCGTTTAAAGTGTTGGTTAAACCACTCAGCTCTACGATTTAACTTTTTATACGATTAATCCACGGAACCTCGTCATCTAACCAATACATATTTACTGTCAGTTAATTATACTGATTTTTTCTACAATTCTTTTTAATCAATAGCAAATGTCTGAATGTGGAATAAGCATTTTAGGAAACAATCAGGTTAATACGAAAGCCGGGTCAGGACTTCCGACTTCCAAGTTTTTTTTTTCACTTCCGACTTCCAAGTTTTTTTCACTTTTCACTCTTGGACAAGTTCGATATTCACGATTTTTCGATGAACGGATTTTTGAGTTATTGCCCTTGACTTAGCCAAAACGCGTCTAAATTGGCTTTTGAGCGCGATAGAGACTACAGTTTTCATCTGATTCGAATGAAATTTGGTGTGATCATTTATATTGATGAGATCTTGGACAAGGTCGATATTCACAATTTTTCGATGAACTGTTTTTGAGTTATTGCCCTTGACTAAGCCTAAACGAATTGAAATTGGATTGTGAACGGAATAGAGACTACAGTTTTTATCTGATTCGAATGAAATTTGGTGTGATCATTTATATATTGATGAGATTTTGGATAAGTTCGATATTCATGATGTTTCGTTGGACAGTTTTTATACGCCCACATATAATGTGGTCGTATATTGTCGTCACCTCTGTCCGTCCGTCGGTCCATAATTGGCTTGTTATCTGATTTTTATGAAATTTGGTGTGATCATTTATATTAATGAATTCTTGGACAAGTTCAAATTTGATGATCTTTCGATGACCGGAATTTGAGTTATTGCCCATTCGTTAGCTTGTTAATGCAATAGTTTATGTCAGAATTTCATTGAATATTTTGTGTTTGATTTAATCAACTATATCTTGAACAAATGAGATTTTTGGTATGATTGGACACAAATTGGTGACCGCCCTTGATATACTGAAAATGTATCAGGAAAGTGGGCATATCTTGCTATGCAACGACTTGTTGTGTCAAGTAACCTGTTTCGGTAATTTCACGGTTAATATTCGACCTCTTGCCAGAAAGCCCTTAAAGAGAACAAGCACTAGCATAGCGGACCAGTTGTGAAACTCTTTTATCCTCTGTTGAATCATACCTTAATTTGAACGTGTCTAAGGACTCTTAGGTATAAATTAAACCAAATTTTATTAAGATCAGATGACAACTGTGACTTCTATCGCGTTAACAAGCCACATTGGATATGATCACAAAAGCGTAGACTTAATTACAAGCTTGCTGGAGGAAAAAACTTGCAAGTCCGAAGTAAAAACTTGGAAATCGGAAGTCGGAAGTGAAAAAAAAACTTGGAAGTAGGAAGTGAAAAAAAAAACTTGGAAGTCGGAAGTTGGAAGTCCTAACACGGCTTTCGTAGGTTAAAGATAGTGATAATATTTTATTTTGTTTGTTTTTTTTACAAAATTCAAAACGAAGGGTTTTTACCACCCGTTAACCTGCCAACAGTCTAAATAAAATCAAATCTTTCTCGACGGGTAATGGACGGGAGGAATCCTTGTGATTTCTCGGGCTACAGTTCTAATAAAGAATGTTAAACATTGTAAATTTAGGTTTATGTCTCCAATTCATGTATTTACAAAGTTAAGTGACTATCACGTGCATGGTATACAGGACTTTGTTTTATTTTGACGTTTTACCACATGATTATAGTATTGCTACTAAATATACTATCAGCTGTAAAGCGATAGCTCTCATTAATTCCATTCATGATTTTATCTTTACATAGAAATTTGCACATTTTTTCATACATGAAACACTTACAACCGTTTTTATATGATGCGCCCGTTTTTTAAGTTTTGAAATAAGCTACAATTTCAGCATTTTGCCATTTGTATTTTAGAAAGTTCTGATGGAATATCACCACTAGTTGCTGGAATCGTCGGTGCCCTGACTTCAATGGTTTTACTACTGATTGGGATTGTAATATTGGTATATTGCTGTATGAAAAAAAGGTGACTGTTCAGAACCAATATTGTATGATTTCGTCTAAGACGACAGTTCCTTTCTTTCTTCATCTCGTCAAAAGTGTAACAGTTTCCCTAAGTTATTGGGCCAAACAATCTAGATTTAAATCACATATTCCCCTCAAAAATGACTCTTTTTAACCTTCAAACGCGTATAATTCTAGACACACATATACTTCAGTCTCAATTTCAACGGTGAGCCGTGAACACTATTACTGATTGGCTATGCAAAAACAAAATCCCGTTTCTAAGACTAAAGTTTGATTAGCCAAAGAAATGGTGCATCTGTCCTTTTGACGAAAATCTCAAAAGAGAGAGACCCATGTCATTTGTACATAATAAATTTTGTAAACTCACAGTCATAAGCAAAATAACGTGTTTTTTTTTTTTATTTCAAGATGTTCCACTTCAAAATGACCAATTTAGTCTTTAATGCAGGTGTAGCTTAATTTAAGTTAGGTTTAATGCGAGTTTTCAGGAAAGAAAAGATGAAGTAAGAAGCTAAATGTTTTATCAAATACATCTGTTTAAATTATATTCATATCAGTGGTATTATTTTTTAGAAATGAACGTTATAATTCAAATGAAAGAACTGTTAGATATACATCTTCAGATAATGTAGAGACTATCAGACCTTCAAATGAGAATATACAACACGATGTTACAGGATCTCAAGTTGAAACTGATCCTTATGAATCTCTTGATGGAATTTTACCTTCACCTCTTTACGAAAAATTGACATAGTTTGTTCTTTTGAGCAATGGAAACTAACATAAAATTCACTCTTTTAAAACTAATTCAGTAGATACACAGATGCAAATAGCATATTTTGAAAATATTTCAGGTAAAATTTACGACAATGAAAATTTTGCATATGGCTCACAAATTTTACATTGGCTCACAAAATTGTTGTTTAGTTGATCAACTAACATATGGACAGGTACAGTTTTATTCTTTCCTCGGTTAAAACAGCTTTTGTAATTGTCAGGTTTTCTTGAAGTGGAAGATGAAGTTGACAAAGACATCTGTGTCCGGTGTGTCAACCAAGATTGATTAAACCCTGTATTACACAACTTTATCATTAATATGAAACTTGATTATGTAATAAAAATCCGAACAAGCAAAACAATTCTGTTAACCAAAAATCTCGTCCAAAGCAAGACTAAATCGCAAATTATAACTATACTGTATAGTAATGGATTCCTCAAACCAGAAATTTCGAAAAGAGCAATAGTGCTCTGCTGACGTCGACTTCTTCTTGGTTGCATGAGATTGTCGCAGCGCCAGCTACAGTTCTCTGCAAGCAACACAAATGACATTCCTTTCCTGATCTGGAAGTTGACTGATTAGTTCTCGTGATAAGGAGGTTTTAACAAGTTAGAGCTCGTGAATTGACCAGTACATACAAGTT